GCTCTAATGTAACCCATGGCCTTTAATAACAATGTGTCAGTATTGGTTCATTTGTAACAAAGGTTACTAACACAATTTTTCTGTGAACCTACAACTGCTCTAAATAATAAAGACTATTATATTAAAGGGAGCTCTGGTAGCATAGTGGCTAAAAGCACTTGACTGCTAACCAGAAGACTGGCGGTTCAAACCCACCAACCACTCCTCGGAAGAAGGTTGGGCAATCCTACTTCTGTAGTGATACTGCCTCGGAAACCCAAGGAGGGGTCGCTATGAGTCGGGGCCGACTCAACGGCACATAACAACAACAACATTATATTAAAAAAAAAAAAAAGTCTATTAACATACAAGATAAATAAATAATTGGCTGGGCAGCCATCCATGTGAAAACAAATTAAAATCCCTATTTTATATCACACACAATATAAACTCCAGATACATTTTTAAATAGTGCTAAAACAGAACTTAAACACACTTGATGAAAACACATGTATTTTAAAATTTTTTGATGACTCTAGTAGTCAGGATTCTTGGTTCTAAACAACAGAAACCAGCTTCGGTTCATTTAGACAGAAATGGACTTCATTGGTGGGCAGGCAATCCAATAGCTGAATGAGTGGGTGGGAAGGCTCGAGAACCAGCTGCAGAAAATGGCAAAAACCTAAAGTTCACCTTAAATGGGACATGAAAGGGAAGCAGCATCACGGAAAAGAGTGACAAAGGAGCTGTGTCTAAGTTTATAAAAACCGAACTCGCTGCCCTCGAGTCGAATCCGACTCACAGCGACCCCTCCTTGGGTTTCCGAGGTGGTATCTCTATGGAAGTAGATTGCCCAGTCTTCCTTCCGAGGAGTGGCTGGTGGGTTTGAATTGTCGGCCTTCTGGTTAGCAGTCAAATGCCTTAGGTACGCCACCAGAGCTGCCAAGTTTATAAAGAAGTCCTAGAAAACGGCCGGAAAAAAATTTGTTACAAGCACGTTGGAAGGTGATTTTTGCCTACCCTCTGATCTGGTAAGGTCCACCTCTTACTAGATCCAGGAGAAATACTCACACTTGTGCCTAAGGAGATAGGACTAAGTGGGTGTTGCAATCTTGTCTGCAGTTCTGAGAACTTGCAGTCAACCTAAACATTCATCAAGAGTGGAAGAGATAAAATGGAACGTTGAATAGCTGGTGTAAAGAATGTGATACCGTAGATAGATCTCCAAGTCTTACTGACAGGGAGAAAGCGAACTGCACAACAGGATGTATGCTATTACGTCATTTCCATAAGGAGACACAGACCTTGCCTGCAAATTAATTTAAGATTTGGAGGGGCTGGAATGGAGAGAGAGAAAGATTTCAGTTTTATCTGGAATGTCCTTTTTTTTTTTTTTTAAGATAATACTTACGCATTTAAAAATAAAAAAGAGCATGTCCCACAGAGCCTTGCATGGTATGGCCCTCTGCCTGCCTCTTTGTTCATCCTTATCTGACATCACGTTCCTCCCAGCTCTGAGCTTTCAGCCAGACTTGCTTCTCTGTCCCACAGGACCTCTCCACAGGTTGCTCCCCCGTCTAGAATCTTGCCTCTCTCCTTCCCAGGTTTACATTACTTACCAATTCCTTTAGATCTCGGTCTCAAAGTCATTTCCTTAAGAAAGCCTTCTCAGGGCCTCTGGCCCATGCTTCAGAGAGCTTACCTTTGATTGTAATGACATATGATCCATGTGATTATTAATTCCTGCTCTATGAGAGAGCAATGGCATCACATTTGCCCCTCATTGTGTCTGGTCACCTCACTCCATGCCCAGCACAGAGCACACCCAGTAACTAGGTGATGGAAGCATTAGAGACTAAGGGTACACAAAGCTGACTCTGCCCTTTCCTAAAGCCAGTGAGTGCATCCTGGGTCCTCAAATTCCTCACACCTACAACTGAGCTCACTGTCAGGTCCCTACTACCTGCAGCCTCCTCCGAGGTCCCCTACTGGGCTCAAAACCCTGAGACTTTAATTCTCCAGTCTTCATATTCAACCCTTCTCTTAGCCTGCAGTCTCCTCTCCAGACCCACAGCCACCTGCCTAATCCAAACCACCAGCCTCCTCCCCTAGCCTGCTGCAAGAGCTGTTAACCTACCCGGTCTTCCCTGATCCGCTTTGGTGCCTGAGCAAGCCACTCTCCATCTACTTCCCAGGGCCACTGACTTCAAAGTAGGATGTGGCTGTGAAACACGATGGATCTGCCTGCCACTCAGCGTGCTGGTAGTTACTGCTCCAGCCTCTGGCTTGGCTGTCAAGGACCCAACTGTCCTGGTTTGTCCAGGGGTTGCTAGGATGCAGGGCTCTCAGTGCTCAGTTTGGGAGAGTCCTGGGCAAACTGGGATGACTCGGTCAGCCTTCCTCCCTCCCTGCTGGCCTGTGATTCCCATGAGGGCAGGAATCATGTTGGTCTTACTCACTGTCATAGGCCCAATGCCTAGCTGAGCAAAGACGCAAAAAGTTTTATTGTTATCTTGTGGAGTTTAAGTGCAGTGATGGTGTGGCACTCCCCTTTGTGGGCCCAGCAGCTCACACGGGGCCCAGCGCCCCATGGGTGTCCAAGTACCAGTTTTGCAGATAAGGAACTGTTCACCAGATTGCTGTTACCAAAACTGCTTTCCTGAGTCAGCTAAACCTGACCTCCAGCTGGGGCTCCAACCCCTCTGAAAGGAAACACTCCATATAGGCTGCAAGGCCTCTGGCAACTGAATGTGTGCAAATCCCTCGTCCTCTGGATGAGCTCACTGTTTCCAGAGCTTTCACAGCTATACACAGAGTCCACAAAACCTGACCCACTGCCAAGTCATTCCAACTCAGCAATTCTATAGGACAGAGCAGAACTACCCCACAGGGTTTTCAAGGCTGTAATCTTTATGGTAACAGACTGCCACATCGATCTTGTGCCAATCCACTATTGGGGTCAAACACCCGACCTCTCGGTTAGCAGCTGAGTGATTAACCACTGCACCACTAGGGTTCCTTGACTGACTCCACAAGCCATCTGTAATATCCCTTCCCTCAATGGAGCAGTGGTACCTGGCTATGCATGAAAACGTCTGCCTTGGAGTCAGACTCCCAAGGTCAAATGTGAACACCATCATGTACTGGCTGTGAGACATTGAACTAGTCACTGCTTTGAGCCTCTGCTTCTCTATCTGTGGAAAAAAAAAAAAAAAAAAAGAGTTCACTCCTGCTCTTCTAGCCCACACCACAGCTGTGAATGTCAAATAATATGTGCCAAAAAAAAAAAACCCAAAACTCACTGCCATCAAGTCAAATCTGACTCATAGCAGCCCCTCCTTGGGTTTCTCAGGTGGTATCTCTATGGAGGTAGATTGCCCAGTCTTCTTTCCAAGGGAGTGGCTGGTGGGTTTGAACCACTAGCCTTCTGGTTAGCAGTCAAATGCCTTAGGTATTACGCCACCAGAGCTCCCTATGTGCAGCACTGTGTAAATGTTAAAAGGCTGTCCCCAGATTTTATGCTTATAATCCCATCTTTCCTCACCCATGCAATGCAACCAACATAGATTTATTTTCCTGTTCCAAAGAAACCTAGGCTAAGGGCCAGAGACCTCTTGGAAGCAAAAGGAGATTGGAGTCTTCCAGAACTGAGTGAGGCTGCAGAGGTGGGAGGCACCAGGTTTTTCCTGGGACCCGAGGGAAGGATCAGTGTTTCCGCTGTAAGCTATTGGAAAACAACAAACTCAACTCACTGCCATCGAGTCGATGCCAACCCAGTGGGTTTCCGAGGCAGTAAATCTTTTCAGAAGTAGGTCGCCTCAGCTTCCTTCTGTGGAGCAGGCGGTGGGTTTGAACCACTGACCTTCTGGTTAGCAGCCAAGTGCCTTATCCACCACCCTACCAGAGCTCCTTACACTATTAGGAGAACCTGTGAATTCTCCAAGAGTTGGGACCCTATTTCGCCCATCTGTTATCCAGCCCCAGGATGTAGAGCTGATCGGTGGAAGATCTGGGCCATACCCTGTCTTTGCACAAATTGTTTCCAGCATCTGACCGCCTTCCACAAATAATTCCCAGGTGGCTCTATCTCCTGGGAACTCCTTTGTCCTTTTAATACTCAAGTGTCTACATGAAACAAAGGTTGTCTGTGTTACTGCAGCCCAGAAAAAAAAGAAAAAAAGTCTGGACAGATTTTTATCCGATTGGAAACGCATCATGGGGATGCCTGGCCTTAAACTGCCAACTATGTGGTACATACGAAATTAACCTTACATCTGGCAGTTTGCTTCCAAAAGGTCACAGCCATGAAAACGCTGTGGAACATAGTTCTACTCTGACACACACAGCGGTCACCTGAGGCAAGATCTTGACTGGACAGTAACTGAAAATACCGTTGTTACTTCCTTGAGGCATTTAACACCTGTGTCATCAGACCTTTAAAAAAAGGAAAGAAATGAACTTTAGAGGCCATAGGAGATGTGTCAAGGAGTTAGGTTGTGGCCTTCCAAGACGTGCACCTGACACTGTGAGTCCGTGTAGCTGCCTGTGGGGAGACAGGTGGCCTATATATGAGACCACAACGCCCAAAGATAACAAACTGGCTGCAAAGAGGAGCCGAAATCAGACACTCAGAGTGTTTCAAAAGAAGAGTCCTGTTTGTTCCCCGGGTTTATGGCCTCCAGCTGAGAGCTGGTGGAAGACACTAGTTAGTCTGTTCTTTATTTTCATTGGAAAGTTACAGGGTTACTTATCAACAAAAGACAGTCCAGGGCAGAGATATCCAGTGGTTTCTATGTACAGGCCCATCCCTGGGGTCCACACCCCCACAGGGGCCTCAGACTCTGAGGTCTCTCTGGACCCCCTTCCCAGGCCTCCAGGAGCCAAGCACACCGACACTGGGAACAAACACCAGCCTGACCTCAGCACCCGCCTTCACGTCAAAGGGCAGCAGCTGCTGGTGCGGAGCTTCTGGCCGGTGGGTTAGGGGCCTCTCTGCAGGCAGGCTCTCAGACACTCCTAGGACTTGTTCCTGCTCTGGCTTTCCTTTCTTCCAAATTGTCATTTTAACACTGAGGCGTCCCAGCCTCCCATCCCGGAGGGGAAGGGTTTGCTCTGTTGCCTTTTCTTGTGTCTTTGTTTCTGTATAAAAACAATACTCTTGATTGGACCATTTTTTGCCCAAGAAATAAAGATGGCTCAGCAGGTACAGTTCTCCTGGTCGATCTGCTTCCGGCAGGGTTCCATGGTGACAGCGACGCCCACCCCACTCCGGCCAGACGTCATGCGGGTCACCTCGCTCCAGGTGTCCGTGTCTGGGTCATAACACTCCACACTGTCCAGAAACGTGTGACCATCATAGCCTCCTGCAGGGAGAACAGGGGGACAGTGATGGGTCACATGCCCTCAGGGGACCAGCAAAGTGGAAAAGCGAGGCTGGCCCTGGAAGAGGGGGTGAATCAGGTGTCTCTGTCCCCCAGCCCCACCCCGGGCCTCACCGAGGACGTAGATCTTCCCCTGGTGCACGGTAATCCCTAGGGCACTCCGCCGATGCTTCATGGGGGCTGCAAAGGTCCACGTTTCTGTCTCCACGTCGTAGCGCTCCACACTGTTCAGCTGGTCCTGACCGTCGTAGCCCCCCGCGGCGTAGATACAGTTGTGCAGGACACAAACTCCTAAACCGCACCATGCAGAGAGGGTGACGCTGGGGCCTGGTCTGGGGCCATAGCCACCACCTCCCGGGGCGAGCCCTCCCCTCTCCTGAGGGACCCTTCAGAAGCAAAGCCAAGACAAAAGGAGCCTGGACTCTGTCAGAATCTAGCTCTCTGGTGTGGGTGACAGGGTTCAGGCCTCACCCAGTTTCACCTGAGGTGGGAGGCGTTCGAGGCCCCCCCCGCTGTTCCCTGCAGCACCCCCTGTACCTGCCCCACTTCGGATGGTGTTCATGGGTGTGATCATCCGCCACTCGTTCCTCTCTGGGTAATAACACTCGGCTGAATTGAGGCGGTTTGTCCCGTCAAATCCTCCAACAGCATAGAGCAGACGGTTGAGGACAGCCACTCCCACCCCAATCCTCCGCGTCAACATGGGGGCCACCAAGTGCCACTCATCTCGCTCCGGCTCATACCTGCAAGGGCAGAATGACAGCAACGAGGGTGAAGACCACAAGCATGAGCTGACCCTCCTGGGGCTCTTTATGCACTTGAATTCTTTTGTTTTTTAAATTTTTTAAATTGTGATTTGGGTGAAAATTTACAGAGCAAATTCACTTTCCATACAGCAGTTTACATACACTTTGCCTCATGACATTGACCACAGTTTACCACAATGCAACAACTCCCCTCCCACTTCCTCCTGATAGTTACCTCTTCCCTGTGTCCATCCCTCCATGCACTCCTGCCCCTTGAGCTGTCTCCCTGTGCAAAAACAGCCCTTGTATTCTCCCATGATTGATCTCTCCAAGGAGTGTATCTCCCTCAGGTAAATGTTTAACTCCTCTGCCTGTCTTTTGTTTGGCTGGAAGCCACAGGCATGGGTTCAATTCCAGACCTGAAGGGCAGCTAGGGACCATAGTCTCAGTGGTTCCACCAGGCTATATCAGACTTGCAAACCTGGTCCCCCCCCCTCTTTTTTTCCCCCAAAATGATTTTGAGTTTTGTTCCACATTGTTCTTTCTCTATATCCAGGATCTCCTACATAGATCCCCTTCCAAGTGGTTGACAGTGGTAGCCGGGCACCATCTAGATCTTCTGATCTCATGGCCGTATAGGCTGCAGATCGCATCGTGTACCAGTCAGTCTCTAGGACTAATTCTTTCCATGAATCTTTGGTTTTCTTCATTCTTCTTTGCTCTGGACGAGGAGAGACCCATCACTGCATCTAGATGGCTGCTTGCAAGCAAAGATCCCAGTCGCTACTCACCAAAGTAGGAGGTGGAACAATGTTTTGTGTACCGTTACGCCAATTGAGCTTGATGTCCCCTGTTTATGCACTTGAATTCTTTAATCCTCCTGACTTTCTACAAGGTAGAAGTGATCAGGGGCCCATTTTCTAGGTGGGAATACTGAAGTTCACAGCCATCATCTGTGCAAGGCCACACCCACATCTCTTGGGCCCCCAGGGACTCAATACCAACACTGCCAGCCCTGTGCTGAGTGTTATGGGCACGACCTCACAGCAGTCCACCCCCCACCAATGGAGTCACCGTGTAAATGGCAGAGCTGGGGTTCAACCCAGTGCTCTATGACTGCAGAACTTCCCAGTCTAATGAGCAGGGTTTGGCCCAGGGCAGCATCTCGATGTGATGCTCAATGATGCACAGCCCTGTTCACACCTGTGCTCTGGCGTAATTATTACCAGTGCTCGTCCTTCTCCTAAGTGGTCTGCTTACAGGGCTTTATCATCCATCATCCTCTTTATAGACCGCTTATGTTAGACGCCCCTGGGCACTTATTTAAAATTCCCCTTCCCCAGATCACTGGCACCCCTAGCAGTGGGCCAGGAATCTGCTTTGTTTTAACAAGTTCTCCAGGTAAGAACTATGTCCTCAGCCACACTTCAGGGAAAAGGAGAAGGCAGAAACTAAGCTACAAAGGGCCAAAGGCCCTACATGCCTGGCCTGTATAAATCCAGAGTTACCACGTACAGCTGTGCAGGTTGTGCAGTGCTCAATGTACCATGTCCAAAGGGACACTTACCACATCAAAGATCTCACATCTGCTTATTATGACAGCTTGAGGACAGAAAGCAGTGAAATGTCATGTTTCACCAAAATTCACATATTACTACACTATGGATGGGACTCTTCAAATCTGCACAAAGGAGCCATGTAAGTTTGTGACAGCCCTAGCCCTGAACACATCGTACAAAGTCACTGATCATAAATCTTCCATGAGTTCAATTTCCATCTTGAGGCTTCCACTCACCAAAGGCAGGGAGCAGAGATGAGCACTCGACAACAGCGAGAGTCCCTGGACCTCAACGGCTTGGGGCCTGCCACAGCGGAACCCTCAGAACCCCACCCCTACCACTCACCTCTCCACGCTGTTGTGGTGGATGCAGCCGTGGGAGCCGCCCACAGCATAGATGTGCCCATCAATGACGCCGACTCCAATGCGGTTGCGTGGCACAGTCATGGGGGCGCAAGGTGACCACTGGTTGGTCATGGGGTTGTAGCAGTCCAGGGCACTGGAGTCGGTGTTGCCGTCGGGTGAGTTGTTCCGGCCGCCCACAGCATACAACAGCCCGCCCACCACACAGCCTGCCAGGCCGCTCCGTGGCACCTGCAGGTCTGCCAACCGGAGCCACGTGCCATCACTGGGATTGTAGGCCTCCAGGTAGCTGAGTGACTGGCGGAAGTAGCCGCCGGCTGTGTAGATGAGCCGGCCTACCTTGGGCGCCCGGCAGGGCATCACTTGCGTGGGCTTGTGCAGCGTGAGCTCTTGGAAGATCTTGACCAGGTAGTCCTTGCAGCGGGAGTCTGACTGCAGGATCTCACATTTCTGCAGCTGCATCTGCAGGAAGTGGGGGGTGAGCGAGTGGCAGCGCACAGCCCGCAGCAGGGCCTGCACGTAGAAGCGCCGCTGCTCGCAGTCGTACTTGACCCAGTTGATGCAGGCGTGGAAGACCTCGGACTCGCAGCGCACGTTTAGATCGTCCCGGCTGATGAGTGTCACCAGCTGGCAGTGGGACAGGTTGAAGAACTCTTCTTGCTTGGCCACCTGCAGAGGGCATTAGTGAGACAAGCTGATTCCTGGTCCCTCCCCCACCCCTCAGCCATGTGTGAACAGTATGATCTTGGACGAGGCCCTCAACCTGCCTCTGACAGACTCAGTTTCCTCATCCGTAAAATGGAGATTCAAACAGTATGAAGATTCAAATGAGTCAATACTGTGTGCCAAGCACATAAGGTCCCTAAGTGGCACAAATGGTTTGCATTTGACTCTAACGGAGAGACCGGCAGTTCAAACCCCCCAGCAGTGCTGCAGAAGAAAGGCCCGGTGAAGGCTTCCTTAAAGATAACAACCAAGAAAACCCTTTGGAGCATTCTATTCTGTAACACAGGGGGTCACCATGCAAATCCACTCAAGGCAATGGGTTATTTTATTTTTATTTGCCAGGCATGTAGTAGAAGCTTTGGTGGCATAGTGCCTAGGCACGTGACTGCTAACCAGAAGCCTGGTGGTTCAAACCCACCAGTCACTCCTCGGAAGGAAGACTGGGCAACCTACTTCCATAGAGATACTGCCTTGGAAACCCAAGGAGGGGTCACTATGAGTCGGAATCAACTCAATGACAGTGAGTTTGGTTTTGGTTTAGGCCTGCGGTATGCACTCAGGTAAATGGGTGAAGACACAATGTACTGTGCACCTTTTTTTGTACATTTGGTTTTTGGACTATAAGAATACCTTGCTTTTTCTTATCTATTGATGAAATCACATTTTTAAAAAGAGCAGATTGACTAATAAGGAAAACGTAACAGCAATGGAAACCAGCCTAGGTTGCAATTGTAGCCCCACCACTTTCTAGGCGTGGGACTGTGAGCAAATTTCTGAAACTCTCTGGAATGAGGATATCATTGACCCCAGTGGGTCCCAGGCATTGGAAGAGGCCTTAGAAGGTTTAGAGGAAGGCACTGTAAAGCTTGGGACTTCCTGAAGCTTAGCACCTTGGGCCCTGGCCACCTGGCCCAGTCTCGGAGTGGTAATTCCTCATTGGATGTCTGGGAAGAGCCAATGAGTTAAAGGATGTACAAGGAGAGCTGGCACACAGCAAGTGCTGAACAAATACTTATTAACACTAGTATCTCAAGTGTGACACTGGTGGGTATTGTCACACAGGAATTGGAGCTCTTGTAAAAAGTGACTTTTTAAGATATTTCAGTTGACAACTTCCTCCACTTAAAAATGAAAACAAAAGACAACGTTAAGAATGGACTGAAGGAAAAAAAAAACAACCCACATCTACGGGTCAGACTTGCAGTCTGCAGCAGGTCAAGGGTGTTTAATAAAGATCTGCTGACAGAATGAATGGCCTGCCCTGCTCAGCACACCCCAGGGCTGGGCTGCTGTCACGTCCACTGCACTGACTCCACCCTTGACCTCTGAGAAACCACGGAGCCCAGGGACCTGTGTAGCTCTCCCTTTCCTCAGCCATTTCCCAGTCTCCCAGATGTGTGGACTAGACGCTCAGAACCCCATATCTCTCCAGTTGCATAATTCAACTCCTCATGTCCTAAGGGGAGACATGATGACCTCTCCACGGCCTGTCACTAGTCCTTCCCCTGCCACTGCCCCAGCCCTGGATCTATGCTCCCTCCTCCGTGCTCACCTCCCCGAAATGCATGTAGATGTACTCGCGGGCGCGTTGATGCAGCTCGGCACAGCCGATTTGCTCGGCAAAGTTGGCAATGCCAATGGCGTTGCTGGGGTCCAGCTGTTGCACCAGGAAGTCACTGCAGGCGCGGACAACGCTGTCGATCTGGTACATGACGGCCCCGTTCATGACGTGGAGCACGCACTTTTCGCCCATGGAGATAGAGGCCGTGTAGGCAAACTCGATGAGGCGCTCCATGACCTTGGGGTGGATGCCCTCGATGGATACCACTTCCATGCCCTGCTCTCGCAGCCCGTTGGTGAACATGGCCTTGAAGACAGGGCTGGACGAGGCCAGCACCACCTTGTGGGCCATGAATTGGGCGGCTGGTGCGTCCTCATACTTGACCTGCAGCGTGACATCACACAACTGCTGGCTGAGCCGCAGCTCGTTCATGATGCTGAAGGCCTGCTTGGTGTGGTCCTCCAGCGTGTAGCTGAAGGTGCGGTTGCCATGCTGGGAGGGCGTCACCTCGGCCTTACACTCGGTAGAGGCGTACATCACCACGTCCCCTGCCCCCTCAGGGCGCTGTGACTGCAGGGGCAGGAATCGACTAGGGGCCCCAGCCCTGCTAGGCCTGGGTGCTGGCTGCATGGGGCTCCAGACGACAAAGGACAGCACCACCACTGGCACTCAGGGGCCTGGAGGAGGAGAGCAGAGGGCTGGGGGCAGGGCCTGGGGCTGGGCCAACGCCTGCCAGGCCTCCCTTTGTAAGATAAAGCCATTCTCAGATTAGTTTTCCTTTCCAAACAAACAGGATAGAGGGGCATCTATTCCAGCTCCCTAACTGTCCCCAAACTTACCAGCCCAAGAGCCCACTTTAAAACACCAGTCAGGCCATGCCCCTCCCCTGCTCAGAATCCTTTAACAACTTCCAAGGCACTAAGAATGAAACCTAACTTCTCAGAGGCCTGTGAGGTCCTCCGCAGTCAGCCCTTGCCCCACTTCCCTTTGCTCACTCTTTTCCAGTCTTGCAGAATACCTTTCCTAGAGCATGCCAAGATCATTCCTTTCTTTATTCACCTCACAAACACTTATGGACCAGCTACTTTGGGCTGGGATGGTGTAGGCACTGGGGACATAGCAGTGAGCAAGACAGACAATGCCCTGCTGAGCTAACGTCTGGGGAGGAAAGAACCATAAACCCAGTAAGTAAAACCAGAGCAGAAACCTGGAGAATTGGGCAAGAAGAGCAGAGCCGCCCGGAGTGTGGTGGGAAACCAGGAGGGGGGTTTGCATAAAGCCTCAGGACCCATGGCACCAGGTGTGAGTGGCATTTTGAAACGTCCCCACACCTGGAGAAGTGGGGGATCAGATGGGCAAGGGGCTCCCAGGTTTCTCCTCCTCATGGACAACTCAGAGTCACCTCCTCCCTGATTCATTTTCATCGCAGCAATTGTCAGGAACAGAAAGGATCCCCTTGGCCTGTTGAAAAAGTGGCCATCCTTCTCACACAGCCTCAGGGCTCCACAGGCAGGGGGTCCCTGTCTAGGTCACGGCTGTGGCCCTCCACCCGCCTCCTTGCGCCTCCCCCACGTTCTGACCAGGGCCTGGCACCACGCAGGGCTCAGTAAACGTGGGGCTGGCTAGCTGCCCACCCTACTGCGCTCTCTTCCACCCGGACCCAAGGCGCGGCTTGGCTCCCTCTCCCGTGCCGAAGTCCCGAGCCTGCCTCTCTGCCTTTGACCAATTGGTCAACGGTGCCCCCAGGCCACCGAGCACTCCCCCAACGAAGCGACAAGTGGGGACTGCGCATGCCCCGCATGGGCCGTCACCACCGCTTGGAGAAGGCAGGAAGTGACCCCGCCGCGGACTCTCGCCTGCCAGCCCCAGAACGCTGACCAAGCCCCCCCAACGCCGCGGGGTCCCCGCGTCTTCGTGCGTGCTGCAGTCCTTGGGCCTCGCGTCCGGCTTCCGTCCCTCCTGGGCTACCCGCAGAATGCGCGGTCCAACAAAAGGATCCCACCCGGGGCGCGCCTCCTGGCGGTCCGGGACCTCGCAGAATTCCGAGGCGCCCGGGCCAGCGACACCCCGCTCCCTGGCCCTCAGGCACAGTTGCCAGGGCGCTCGCAGCCCGCTGGATCTGCAGCCTGGGCGCAGGCCGCCTCACTCACCCCGCCATGGCCGCGCTCGGGCTCCGCCTCCGCCGCCTGGGCCCGGGCGCCTCCATCGCCGCGCCGGGGGGGAGACGCGGAGCGCGCAGGTCACCATGACTAAGCAGAGCCGGGGCCCGCCCTGTCAGAATAAAAGTCCCCGCAGCCCGGGCCTCCGGCGGCGCCGCAGCAACGCCACAGGGGCCGCCCCCGCCCGCGGTCGCCAAGCTGCACCGCCCCTGCGCGGAAGCCACGGCGCCCGCCATTACGGTGTGCCGCAGCAGGGAGGGGTCCTTGCCGCCGCCACTCGCGCGGCCGGAGCCGCCAGGAATCACTGCCAGAGTTCGAGGCCCGGCGCGCCTCCGTCGGCACCAAGGACCCCGTGGTCACCTCTCCCCGCCGTAGTCACCTCGTTGCCTCCGTAGCTCTCGTTTAAGGGTGGGGATGCCTGGGTCCCCGCGGCAGTTCCGGGCACGTTGGTGCCACTCGCGTGCGGCGCTTCCGGGAAGCCGGAGGGGCAGCGGCCCAGCGGGGGCGGCTCCTACCTGGCCTCCGCCGTCGGGGATCCACGGGCGCCTCTGTCGTCGTGGATCCTCGGCTCCCGGGCAGCACGGCCTCGGGGTCGCGACACCCGGGAAGGAGGCGGAGAGAGGGCGGGGAGGGCGCGGCGGGGAAGGAGCCGCGATTCCCCGCCCTTCCCTCAGGTGCAGGGCGCCGGTCGGGGGGTAGTGGGGCTCCGGGCAGGCCAGGACCGATCCCCCTGCACGCTGTGCCTCCATCCTCCGGAGTTCGTCGCCAGAGCGTCTCAGCGCAGGGCTCCTCTCCACAACCCGCCCCTCTCCCTCTGCAAGCACTCTGCGCACACCTAGCGTTCTGGCGCACGCAGGATTCCGCTAGAATTCCTGCACAGTTCGGTTTTTGTTGTCTTTGTTATCTCCCATTAAGAGGCGCATGGAGCTCGCCTGTGGGAGTTCGAACCCCACCTCTGCCTCTTGCTAGAGTTTAATTTCCTCCCTTAAAAAGGTAAAATAAGGAGCTCTGGTGGCGCAGTGGTTAAGGTATTCGACTGCTAACCAAAAGGTCGGATTCCAACCAGTCAGCCACTTCCCCGGGCGGAAGATGAGGAAGATTTGTTATGTGCGGTGGAGTCGGACCGACTCACAGCGACCCCTCCCTTGGATTTCCGAGGCGGTATCTCTATGGAAATAGATTGTCCAACCTTCCTTCCCTGGAGTGGCTGGTGGGTTTGAACCTCTAGCCTCCTAGTTAGCAGTCAAGTGCCTTAGGCACTACGCTACCAGAGCTCCCTATAAAAATTTAAAGGCTTGGAAAACTCTACGGAATAATTCTACTCTGTCTTAGAGGGTTGAGATGTGTCCCAGTCTATGGCAGTGGATTTGTTTCGAGTGGGACCTGCTAGGTTGTAGCAAGAACTAAATGCAAGCCTAGCGCCTAATACAAAAGAACAATTGTTATTTTTCATGGCAGGAGTTACTGATTTGCCTTTTACGCCGTTTATGGTATACATTGTTAAATAAATGTATTTAAGTTTGATTTAAGAGGAGTCCATCTAAATGGGAAACTAAGTATTAGAAGGGGATGAAGGTTTGAGAGATTCTGGGCTGAAGACATACTGGTCTAAGAAAGAATTCTACAAGCCTTCAGAGGCTGGGATTAAACTGTCACTTTCTTTGTGTGAAACTGCCTCTCCTGACCTTTCAGAGGGGGTCTGTTTCATAGCCGGGGAATATTCTGAGTAGCCCAGGCTGTGAAGAAACTCACCCTCCTTGCACGTGCCCAAAGGCAGCCCTTCCTATCTCAAAATCAAACCTACACATCCTGTGACCTAGTGGTTCCACTTATAGGGATTTATCCAGGAAACAATGGCACTCTTGCAGGAAGATATATTGCAACACTGTGCAGAGTGAGGATTGGACTCATCCCAAACAGTGCCTCCATAGGGGCATGGCTTAGTAAGCGGTGGGATGCTGTGAAATACTATGTTGTTCTTATTTGCCATCGAGTCGGCCCCGACTCATAGCGACCCCTCCTTGGGTTTCCGAGGCAGTATCTACAGAAGTAGATTGCCCCATCTTCGTTCTGAGGAGTGGCTGGTGGGTTTGAACCGCCATCCTCCTGGTTAGCAGTCAAGTGCTTTAGGCACTATGCTACCAGAGCTCCTGTGAAATACTATACAACCCGTTAAAAGGACCAAGATATTTACTCTATGAATGACCTCAATTTAATAATAAGGATAAAGGAGTAAGACAGAACAAAATGTGCAGATGTGCAACAATTTCCAAGACATACTGTTAAGTGAGCAAAACTCATTTTAGCTCATGTATTCGGAGATAAAATTTGACAGCAGTGAGTTTGAGTTTTTTGGTTTAGTTGCAGATAGCCCTGGAAGTTTCCCAAGACTGCCTCCAGGAAAAAGAACTGGGTGTTAATATTATCTTCAGTTTTCTAAAATGTGAATAAATCAATAAATCCCCGACCATCACACCAACAAACAACCGAACAATGGGGTGAGGTGTCCAGGGAGGCCTCAGATTCCCTTAGAAGTTAAGAGGAGCTTCCAGGCTAGGGGTGCCAGGACAAGGCGGTAATTGAGTCCAATCCTGGAACCATCCTAGATCTGTGCCCCCAAGCGTCTGCGTGCTTAGGTGTTTTACGAAATAGGTAAGTTTTCTCAGGCGTGTAGCCTGCAGGGCCTGTCTGGGTATGGCCCGCGGAGCGGGCCTCCAAAGACACCGCCACCTGACTGCAGTTCTGAAGCCTCCCGCCAGGTGGTGCATCACAGTGCAAACCCGTCGCGTTCGCCCCCGCCCCCACCTCCGCGACAACTCTGGGGTCAGGAATGCGCCTTGGGACGTGCTGGGGCTGCGCGCCTGGAGCCTTTTATGGGCACAAAGGGGCCCAGCCACGAATGCAGACCCCTGTGTGTGAGGGGGCTGGTGTCCGTCTGGAAAGCATCCGGAGGAGCCAGACACTAGACCTGAGGCCCCCTGGTCCTGGGAGCTTGACAACCTGTGCCGGGATCCTGGCTCAAACACCAGGGCAACACACTCAACTGTTTGGAACCTCGGTTTTCTCATCTGTCAAAAGGAGGTGACAAAACCTACCTTGCAAGGTTGCCATAAAGGTGAGAAAAAATGTGTGTCCTCAGACCTAGGACTGTAGGATTGTAAGCTGGTACAATAAATTGTAATTGCTAATCATTTTAAATTTGTTTTTATTATTTCTTGTAATTAAGGATTGACACAGCACTCAAATAAATTTTGTGCTTAGGCAAGATTATCCCAAATTTGGGGTGCCCTGTCCCTGGCTTCCTTACTTCTAAACTAGGGGGTCATCCTTGACTTCTTTCTTTCCCTCACCCCACACACAGTTTCTCAGTAATTCAGTTCACTGACTCCATAATCTACCCAGCACCCACCTAGTCTGAATCTGCTTGGTGTCCCCATCATGGCTTCCATGGGCCAGTCCTATCACCTGGTCCCCCACAGTCTGCCCCCACAGCAGCCACAGGGAGCCCGTTAACACCTGAGTCAGAACCCTCTAGAGCTCCCATCTCACAGCAAAACCAGAGTTCTTCCCTCCCCCGCATGGTGCCCTAGCCAATCGGCTTGTCAGCTCCCCACCCATGTCTCCTCCTGGTCTCCCCCTTCATCACTCTGCTTCAGACACATCAGGATCCTTGCTTTTCATTGAACACACTAGCCCCAGGGCCTTTGCACCTGCAGCTCTGGCCTCCTGAAAATACTCCTCCTTCAGCTGACCACCATTCCTGACACCATCATTGTATTGTCATTGAAAATATCTCCTCTATTTTTTCACAATTACTGTCTGAGTCCCTGACCAGAACTTCAGTTCAACAAGGGCAGGTTGTTGTCTGTTCTGTTCACTGTTGTATCCTAGTGCCTAATATAGAGCTCAGCCCGCACTAGGCACTCAGTAAAAGGGATTTTGTTTCAATTAATGTATTAACCTTGTGTCTTCTCTTGGCTGCATGGCCTACAAATTGTTTTATTTAAAACAATCAAGTCTGTAAAACAGGTTTTGGGGAAGTCAAGGGTAGGCCCGTGTGCGTCAGTCAGCAGCAGGGGCAGGCACCAGGGCCTGGGCCGCCATGGGTGCACCGGGGCTGCCAGTGAAGCCGCTGGTGTCCAGTCCTTCCCGTCGGGGCGACAAGCGCTCAGAGCGGCTGGAGCTGCCATCCGTGCCTGGAGGTAGCCATTGGCGTAGGCCACCTGAAGCCTCAGCCTCGCTCCCAGGCGGCCTGGAACCGCCCTGGCCTAGGCCACATGGACGACGGCCGCAGCAGACGAGGCGCAGCAGTGCGTGGCGCAGGTCGCGGTTGGTGAGCGTGTAGATAATGGGGTTTAGAAGCGAATTGGCCATGGCCAAGCCTAGGAAGGGATCGGCCTGCAGGAGCACTGGGCAGGCGCGCGCCGGGCACGCCACGTCGAGCAGCAACAGCAGGAAGAGGGGACCCCAGCATGCCATGAAGGCCAGGAGCACCACGCTGAGTGTGCGTAAGAGTGCCAGTGTGCGCGACGTGCGGCGTGCCCGGTGCGAGCTGCCTCCTCCAGCCCCAGGCCGCACCCGCAAGCGCCGCGCGTTGTCGCGCACCTGGCAGTAAATGCGCGCGTAGAGCGCCCAGATGGCGGCCAGGATGCCAACGAAGGCGAGCACGCAGAAGAGTATGTAGGCCTTGGCGTAGAGCGGTAGTACGGTGGAGCAGGAGTCCAAGCGGCCCAGGCAGTTCCAGCCGAGGGCTGGCAGGAGCCCGATGAGGAGAGACACGCCCCAGGCAGCGGCCGCCAGCGCCAACGTGCGCCCCCGACGAGCGGCTGGCGCGGGTCCCCGGTGCGCCATGGTGAGGTGGCGCTCGAGTGCGATGGCCAAGAGACTTAGCACGGACGCGGCGAGCGCCACGAAGACGCCGCCCTCGCGCGCGAACCAAAGCGCGGGCGACAGACGTAGTGTGAGCGGCCCCGACAGCAAGATGTTTGCGGCGTAGGCGGCGCCCGCCAGCAAGTCAGATAGTGTGAGACTGCCCAGGAGCAGGAACATGGGCGCGTGGAAGCGCGGGTGGCGCCCGAGCACGAACAAGACTGCCAAGTTCTCGAGTACGATGAGCGCGCACACAGCCAGGCAGACGACGGCGTCGGCGCGCAGTCCCGCGCCGGGCTGGTAGCGAGCACCGCGGAGCTTGCCGGTGTAGTTATAATGTAGGACGATGACTTCGCTCACCGGCGCCGGCCGCAGCAGCACGGGCTCCATGGGCTGCCTGCCCCAAGGCTGCGGAGAGGCCGGGCGCAGGTCAGGCCGGTCGACCCCCGCGCGCACCGTGCCCGCGGCCTGCGGTAGCGGGCATGGGCGCGCCTTTGCAGCCCTTAGAAAAGGGGCCCTAACTCCTGCCCACCACCCCCCCACACGCACTGGAACCAAGAGGGAGCTGGGAGTGGAAGGCGGGTGCCCATGGAGACAGACATACACAAGGGGGATAGGGTGGCACACAAAAGGACCACTAATAATTCACACACAACCCAAGATATCCAGAGGCATATTCTGTAATTAACAGATGACACACAAATTCAAGGACTCACACGCACAATCCAAAACGCACAGTCACACACCAAGGAAGCACACAAATGCTTTCCCCACGGAAGGACAGAGCAGCACAGAGAAAGAGAGACACACTCAGCTACTTGCAGATGAGGACAGTCACACAGGCCACCATTTCACCACTGTCACCCGCACCATATCACCCAGGCTGGGGCCCAGAGCCCCCACACTCTACAGAGCTCTTTCCTGCTCAAACCCCTTCAACCACTCTAAACCGTGAGAATGCTGATCCTATGCACCCATTTTACAGAGCCGGAAGGCAACAGACAGGATTCACATCGCACAGCCGGAGTCTTGAGGAGGGACACACATGTCAATTAAGTATAATAACACCTCTTACCTGCGGCTGCACCCTTTAATCCCCTCTGTTATTGTTGTTAGGTGCCATCGAGTCGTCTCCGACTCATAGCGACCCTTCCTTCTTCCCTTATTACCAATTTACATATGAGGAGACCCAGGCGCGCAGAGAGCAGGCACAAAGGTTTTCACGCTCCCACACATACGCATCCACGCAGAAACGGTGGCACAGTCACGCGAGTTCCACTTAATAGATGTGGAAACCGAGACCTAAGGAGGGGACCATACTTATTTACACACGGCAAGGACAAATGCAACCCAGACGAATTCAGTCGCACACAGGGAACCGCAAGCGAATACAGACGGACTGTGAGTCCAGGGCTCAGCCACGCTGGGGGTGGGGAGGTGAGGCGCCAAATCACGCAGACCCGGGCTACACACGCTCTCAGGGGGACACCCGCGTGGAGGCGCACAGCTTCTGCACCAACTCCTCGCCCCACTAGCCTGGCGGCAGAACTGAGGGAGAGAAACTTGCCGTGACAAGACCCAGAGTGACCGAGACGGGAGGATTCTAGACGCCCCTCACACACACACTCGAGGGCCCAGCATCCGGCCCCAGCACCGCCGGCTTCTCGCTCCCTGGAGGCCTCTGGGAAAGGCCCGGGAAATCCAGCAAGGGACGCTGCCGTAGCAGACCGCGATGGGACCCAGGGAGACACCCTTCAGGCCAGGCCGAGCGCCTGAGGCTCGGTGCGGCACACTCACCCCTGAGCTCGGCTGCGCCCCCAGCCGCCGCGCTGCCCCGAGCGTTGTGAGCGGACACTGCGCGGGGCGGGGCTGGAGCAGGCAGGCGCGGGGCGGGCCCGCGAAACCGAGGGCCTCGCAGTCTGAAGCAATTGCCCCCTCCCCTTAGGGCCCGGGCAACCAGCCCGTGGCTGCCAGCCTGTGCCACCCGCCGCGGCACCGGGGCGCGCCCCGGCGGCGACTGGCACCGGCGAGCCCTCAGCTCCCCCTCTGATCCTGGGCTGTCCTCCCAGGGGGCCGTTGAGGTGGGAAACCTGGAGACTCAGAGGGCCTGGTTTCTCCAGCCCGGACTCATCCCCTTCCCTCCAGCGGAGGGGTCGCGGTGCTGTCCAGGGCGCGGCACAGGCCCTTTCCCATTGGACGCCCACCTCCTTCCCGAGCCTGGGTAGGCCCAGGGACTTCCCATTGCAGGAGGGCCCTGGGCAGCACAGTGACAAGGGATCTTCACCTGGAGCGGCGTGGCCTGTCCTCTCCCCGGGAGGCTGGGCCCTGACCTCGGCGCGTGGGGGAGGGGCAGGCGCAGGCAGGAGTTTGGTGGGAACTTCCTGCTCCAGAGATAAGGAGAGTCTGGTTCGTCTGAAGCCCTGGGGCCCAGGTTCCCCCTCCCCTGTCTTTCCCATCCTTGCCCCTCTGGACAAAGTGATTTACTCATTTATCGTGTTTCTGGGCTGCGTCCGCACCCGACTGTCACTCCACAGGGACAGGGGCTTGCATCTGTCGTGGGTACCGCAAGAAACACAGCCAATGCCTAACATTTGCCCGCGGAGTGAGTGAAAGAATGCCTGTCTCCCTCCCTGCCGCGTGCGTCCCTCTCCCATAGTCTTTCAGTCTCTCCCTCTCCTCATCTGATTCTCCCGACTCAGTGTCTTTCCGTGCTGTCGGTCCCTTCCGTTGGTGTCACTCTCCCACGCCTCTCCCAGGCCGCTGCTCTTCGAACTGGCCAGTCCCAGCTGGCGCTGCACAGCCCACCCCCAGGTCCCAAGAGCTTCTGGGCCAGACCCAGCTCCCCCACCCTCAGACCAGCGCCACAGGCTGGAAGTGGGGCTGGGCCTGGCCGCTGCGACCTTCACCGGGACAGTGCCCTTTGCCTTCGCAGATCCAGGCCATGCTGGCAGCGGGTGGGGTGAGGGCGCCCCAGGGGCGATGAACCTGAGAGGAATCTGGGGTTGGGGGTCGGGTCGGCAGGCGCGTCCGTGGGAGGGACCTTAAGGGACCTAAGCCTGGTCACATCCCAAGTAGTCCAGGGGTATCTCCCGTGGGCTGGGTGCCCGCTGCTCCCTTAGGGGAGGAGGGTATTGGATCACTCTGCCTGCCCTCCACCAATCAAAGACATGCGCGGGGGCAGCGCAGCCAATGAGGCTTAGCGGCGACACCCCTCCCCAGGGCGTGGGGGAGGGCGGAGTTAACAGATTGGTGCCTCTCAAGGTGCAGCGGGGAACACAAAGGCCCCGACCTCGCCTGCTGGGATGAACTGGTAGATCCTCAAGCGCTTGGGACCAAGCTGGCACACTGCAGGTCCATAAACGACCCTTTCTGCCAAGGGGAAGCCACACCCAGAGATGGGGAGGTGGCCGCTTCACACCTCCCAGGCGGCATTCTCACCTTCCTGCAGAGGAGGGGGGCTCATCCGGCCGCGGGTCCCAGGCCCACCGCCCCTCATTCCCCACCACCTCCCAGCGCTTCTTTTGCCCTCAACTGCACTCCTGGGGACCCAGGCTCCAGCGTCTTTTGCAGCTGTCAGGAACCTCCTGCACTCTCAGACCACCGCCCTCCCCGGCTGCAAACCCTCCCGTGGCTCCCTGCATTACTCGTTGTAAAAGCCAAAGTCCCCACCGTGTCCCATAAGGTCCTGCAAATCTGTTTCCTTCCTTCTAAGACCTTTTCTCCTCCAGCGCACTGGCCTTCACACGTTCCTCACATCTTTGCACTTACAGCTCGCTTTGCCTGTCATCCTTCCCCTGCCCAGCCACCTCCTTATAGAAGCCTACTCTAATCTGTCCTCCCCTACCCACCCCTCACATGGTAATTGGCATTATCGGAAATTGTCATGTTCGTTTATTCATTGTCTGGCCGATTTCGTGACTCTGCCCTAAACCCTCAGCTCCAGGAAGGCAGCGATTGTTGTTCCCCTGCCCAGAGCTGTGTAAGAGTTAAGGGCACAGAATCTAGAGCCAAGTGACCTGGGTTCAAATCCCTGCTCAGCCACCTTGTGATCTACAATCCCAGGGAAGTGATGTCCCACTCTGAGCCTCAACGGCCTTGTCATGGATTGAATTGTGTTCTCCTGAAATATGTGTCAACTTGTCGAGGCCATGATTCTCAGTGGTTATGTTGCTGCTGTTAGGTGCCGTCGGACTCATAATGACCCCGTGTGCACCATCCTCACAATCACTGCTGTGCCTGAGCTCATCATTGCAACCACTGTATCAATTCATCTCATTGACGGTCTTCTTCTTTTTCACTGACCTCTGCATGGTGTCCTTCTGTAGGGACTGGTCCCTCCTGATCAAAGCATGAAAGGTGAAGTCTCCCCATCTTTGCTTCTAAGGAGCATTCGGCTGTAACGTGGTAATTTGACAGTTATGCAATGATGTGATCATTCCCACGATGTGCTCGGATGTGATCATCCAGTCAGTTGTGAGGGGATTAGGGTGGGATGCAACACCCTTACTCAGGTCACAGGCTGGATCTGGTGTAAGGGAAGTTTCCTTGGGGTGTGGCCTGCATCACTGTTTATCTTACAAGAAATAAAAGGAGAGAGAATTGAGCAGAGGAGGCGGGGCCTCAGTAACAACCAAAAAAGAAGAGCCTGGAGCGGGTCTTTGGACCTGGGTTCCTGTGCTGAGGACCTTCTAGACCCAGGGGAACACTGATTCCAAGACACATGGAGATCTCCAAGGAACACTGGGCCACGGATGCTGAAAGGAGACAAAGACTTTCCTTCAGAGACCACGGAGAGAGAAAGCCTTCCTCTAGAGCTGGCACTCTGAGTTGAGACTTACAGCTTCCTAAACTGTGAGGGAATAAATTTCTGCTAAAGCCGTCCATTTGTGCTATTTCTGTTACAGCAGCAGTAGACAATTAAGACAGGCCTCATCTGTCAAACAGAGCTAAAGCCGTCTCCATTCCAAGGGCTCTTGCTGAGGATGGAAACAGCTGGAAGAGGGCATTGGTACACAGTGAGAGCTCAGAAAGTGTTAGCCATGGGAACTATTGGTCACCACAGTATCCCCCTGAGGGGTTAGGAGACGACTAGGCTCAGGCCTCACCAGCCCCAGTCCTACCCCCACCAGGCCTCATCCCACCCCTAGCCAAGCCTGGTTCCATCCCAGGCCAAGTGTGCCCCTGGCCTCCACACTCCTGCCATGACCCGCCCGCCAGACGCATGCCTGGGCCAGCACACTCACCCAGCAAGTTCTGCTGCCGAGGGCTCCCGCCCACAGAGGCTGTCCCACCCAGTGTTCACCCACCCTCACTGAGCTGGGTCTGCACTCTTGAGAGAGCAGAATGCTTCCCAGGGCCCCCTCAGACCCCAGCCTCACCCAGAGGGCTGT